TGCTCTCCTACCTCCGAAGGTATCTCCTAATAGTCCCCATCCTGACCGACATCACTCTCAACTTCACTACCCTCCCACTGTCTGGATTCCTTGGTTCCACGTCAGACTTGGAACGAGGCCGTCTGAGTAGTAGAGACGGGATAGTCAGACGAGGCACTAAGCTTCTGCCGTGCACTAAACTGTCGGAAACACTCGTCCAGAATAGCCAGTCCTTCTGCCAGCCGTAGACCGTGACACATCTCCCAGTTCGTCTTCTCGTCGTATTTATTATCCTGCCTAATAAATCTGACAATGATGTCCTCCGCCTGAAAGCGAAGCTTCAGTAGCTCGACAGTCTACACACATACTGTCAATACCACCAATAATTTGATTTAAGATGAGTTGTCCATGTCATACCTCTTCCACAGTCCATTTTGTGGCACGTTTTTTCCTTTGATTGCCCAAGCGGGCTTCAGCTTCTCTTATCATTCTATTGCTGAGTAAAACATAGAGTCGTGAGCACATAAGAGATTCTGACAAGAAATTATTAAAGCGGAGCATCAGTAGATATAACAATACCTTTCTAGCACGAAACCAGTTCAGTAATAGATGAGCTTGTTTGTTTGGGCGTGTATGTCTTCGTGTTCAATACCTGCATAAGGTTCACGTTTAGCAGTTAGTAGACATTACCTAAGGTCAGTACAGCATGCAAAACAGCTTTGCAGCGTAGATCGAGGCCAATCGAAACGTACAGGAACTTTGGGGAGTTTACGAATAGCAGTAGGCCGGTGAATACGACTAATGAAGCGCCGAAACTCGGTGATTCCAGCAACAGGATGCTTCTATCTGCGTCTGTGGGGTCTTTGTGAGTCTTGCTGCGCAGAAGCGCCGCCTGTGGTTGGCGTTTAGCTCCTTGTCTACTACCCCCGTTTGTCCAAAGTGATCAGTTTTGGCCACTGAGTTAAGTCCCTTCACAAAGTAATATCGATTTCTACGCTACCAAGATATTCCAATACGTTTCATTTGAATTGCTATATCGGCAACTGCTATATCGTCAGATGAAACAGCCCCTTTATTGGCTCCTACCGGTAAGTTCATTTATGGCCAAGTCAGATTATCAGATGATCCGTGTCGAAGGATAATGCGCAAAAAAAGACTTGATACGAACGAGATAATACTTCAGTACTTCAGCAAAAATATCTGCAAAATAGACTTGGAAACTTGGTCATGTTTGACGTCAAAATATATCAACACATAAAAAACTCAGTCCAGCACGATGCTTTAATGCGGCGCCACCCAGCACATGCTCACTACGTCAATAATTCAGGTGTCAGTGAATCCATAAATTAAATTACAAGCTACAGACTACAAGCTTCGAGTACTATCTTCCAACTTGCCGGAAGTGCGCAGTAGGTACTGATTATGCGAACAGCAAAGAGCTCATATCATCGTTAATACTATCATAAAATCAACTTCGGAGCTGCTTCCCAGTAGAAGTTCCGTCGTCAGAGACGGAACGGTATCAAGTCCACCGAGGTCAGCGCACACATCCTCCTCGGTCAACACGGCAATCGATGCATCAGAATAGACGTCGAAGCACAAGTCCATGTCGGCATCAAGGTCGATGGTTTGCTATGGCTGTTGCTGTTGCTCTCACTATCATTGTCAGCATTGCTGACATCGAGTGACGTAGCAGCGGCGTCCCAGTCCAGGCCCGCCAGATCAACAGAATCGAGTACACCAAGTAGCAGCAGGTCGTCATTGAAGCCGAAGATAGCTATCCATTAAACACGGCGAGTCCACGAATGACGCGGAGCATACGTCCGACTGCTCGTCGATGGCGCACACGTCGCGGGGTGACCTCTTGTGCTTCTTGGCTAAAGTGGTGAGATCAGCGGTGTACCCTAGATGACTCCGAGGTCGCTTCATCGACGTCGTTGGCTTCACCGGTGCCGATGTCATCACGGTCACAGCCTTCGGTTTGAGCCTCATCTGGCCCACCATGACGGCGAGCTGGGATGGGTGGCACCGCACGGGCACCTCGTGACTGAAGGTGGCGACGCTGGCGTGCGTCTTGGTCCACTTGTGAAACCCGAAGTTATTGAGCTGGCGTTGGAAGCTGGAGAGCTTGCTGTGCTTAAAGTACTTAAGCAGCACCTCGGACTCCAGCCGCGGCACGTCGAGGACCTGGAAGTGAGATCCATCGGCCGACCAGGATATAATGCGCTGGTCTTCGTTGTGCAGCATGTCGTAGACGGTGCGCACGAAGCGAGGCACAGTGGCGAAGGTCACGTCGCTGGTTTTGTTACTGTCTAAATTCATGTTTAGGCTGCTTTGGTTGCTTGTCGTAGTGGTTTGTTGTGAGGGTGGGCCGACTGTTGTTAGGTGGTCTGAGCGAGTGGAATCCAATTGAGTAGTGATGGGTCTTCTTACTCGAGGTTCTATTCGCGGCAGATTTGGGCAACACGTAGCAAGCGTCTGGCTTACGTAGTGCCGCTCTGGGGGCACACAGCTGATCTGCAGCAACGTCGACAGCAGGACGAGGAGAAGCTTGTGCCAAGTTGCAAAGGATTATATAATTTGTCATAGTTTTGCCAGACCCTGCGTCAGATTCGTGAAGAACGCTCGACTAGCGATCTCGCTGCTGCTATTGGTCCGACCGAGCTGCTACGGGAGAATTTACCGAGAACTCACGTGGCGCGTGTGTTCTAACAAAGCACATGCTTTAGCTTGGGGTTTGAATATGCGTGCTTTATAACACATGCAAGTTCTATCGTGAGTTCGTGCAACTGCTTTCGTAGCACCAGGCAGCTTACAATTGGACCAGACTAAGAATAAGCTCTTGAAGTCACCGAGTTGAAGTGTGTGTGATGATGCATGTCGAAGGCTACAAGTGTGTAGATGAGCTCGTAAGAAAAGGACTAGATACGATCACCGAAAGTGCACGAAATAATACTTCAGCAAAAAGATCTGCAACAAAGACTTGGAACATGATCTCTTGTTCGACGTAACAGGCGGACACCTATCGTGTTGGATGCGCCACCAAGCACGTCCGGTCCAATAAAAGCACCGATGAATGCTCACTACGTCAATAGTTCAGGTGTCAGTGGATCCAACATTTAATTTACAAGCTAGTTACGAGCTTCGAGTACTATCTTCCAACGTGTCGGGCGTATACCGCAGGTATTAATTATGCAAACAACAACGAGCTCATATCAGAGTTGACATCGATGTCAACTTCTGCCAGTAGAAGTTCCGTCTCACACTCCGTCAGAGCCGGAATGGTATCAAGTCCACCGAGGCCAGCGCATACATCATCCTCGGTCAATACGCCAATCAATTCGGCGCAATCGACGTCGAACAACAAATCCATGTCGGCATCAAAGTCGATGGTACTGCTTTGGCTGTTGCTGACATCGAGTGACGTGGCAACGGCGTCCCAGTCCAGAGTCTCCAGATCAACAGAATCGAGTACACCCAGTAGCAGCAGGTCGTCATTGAAGCCGAAGGTGGCGTCCTCCATTAACCACAGCGGATCCACGAATGACGCGAAGCATACGTCCGACTGCTCGTCGATGGCGCACACGTCGCGGGGTGACCTCTTCTGCTTCTTTGCCGAAGTGGTGAGATCAGTGGTGAACGCAAGAAGATTCCGAGGCCGCTTCATCGACGTCGTTGGCTTCACCGGAGCCTTTGTCATCACGACCACAGCCTTCTGTTTGAGCTTCATCTGGCCCATCAAGACGGCGAGCTGGGACGGGTGGCACCGCACGAGCACCTCGTGACTGAAGGTGGCGACGCTGGCACGCGTCTTGGTCCACTTGTGGAACCCGAAGTTGTTGAGCTGGCGTTGGAAGCTGGAGAACTTGCCGCGCTTGAAGTACTTACGCAGCACCTCGGTCTCCAGCCGCGGCACATCGTAGACCTGGAAGTGAGATCCGTCGGCCGACCAGGATAGAATGCGCTGGTCTTCGTTGTGCAGCATGCCGTAGACGATACGCACGAAGCGAGGCACGGTGGCGAAGGTCGCGTCAGTGATATTGTTGCTGTCTAAATTCATGGTCACGTTGCTTTGGTTGCTTGTCGTAGTGGTTGGTTGTGAGGTTGACCCGGTTGTTGTTAGAGTGTCTGGGCGAGTGAAACCCAATTGAGTAGTGATGGATCTTCCTACTCGAGGTTCTTTTCGCGGCAGATTTGGGTAAGACGTAGTGCCGTCGACAGCAGGATGAGGAGAAGCTTGTGCCAAGCTGCGAAGGATAATATTATTTGTCATAGTTTTGCCAGACCCTGCGTCAGATTCGTTAAGAACACTCGACTAGCGATCTCGCTGCTGTTGCTCCGACCGAGCTGCGATGGGAGAATTTACCGAGAACGCGCATGGCGCGTGTGTTCTGACAATGCACATGCTTTAGCTAGGGGTCTGAAAACGAGTGCTATTATAACACATGCTAGTTCTATAGTAATTCGTGCAACTGCTTTCGTACTGCTTACTATTGGACCAGACTAGGAAAAAGTGCTTGAAGTCATCAAGTTGAAGTATATCAGATGATCCATGTCGAAGGATATGTAGACGAACTCGCAAAAAAGGACTAATGACGACCACCGAAAGTGCACGAAATAGTACTTCAGCAAAAAGATCTGCAACAAAGACTTGGAACACGATCTTCACTTGATCTTGTTAGACGTCCAAGTATAACGACAGACGTATAACTCATCTCAGTACGGTGCTTTGACGCGGACATCAATCGTATTAGATGCGCCACCAAGCCCTTACGTCCAATGAAAGCACGGTTGAGCTACAGACTACGAGTTACGAGCTTCGAGTACAGTACTGCACCCCGTTTTCGCGCCCTAGGACCTTTGATAAACTTCCGAATGTGATGATTCTGAATCCAAATCAACAATTGTTTGCGGGCTAAAGTCTGATTTATTTGCAAATCCTATATGATCCACCCCCGCGAAAACGGGGTGCAGTACTGTACATGTGTCCTATCCTCCTAATTATGCGAACAGCAAAGAGCTCATATCATCGTTAATACTATCATAAAATCAACTTCGGAGCTGCTTCCCAGTAGAAGTTCCGTCGTCAGAGACGGAACGGTATCAAGTCCACCGAGGTCAGCGCACACATCCTCCTCGGTCGACACGGCAATCGATGCATCAGAAAAATGGACGTCGAAGCACAAGTCCATGTCGGCATCAAGGTCGATGGTACTGCTATGGCTGTTGCTGTTGTTGTCATTACCATTGTCAGCATTGCTGACATCAAGTGACGCAGCAACGGCGTCCCAGTCCATCTCCGCCAGATCAACAGAATCGATTACACCAAGCAGCAGCAGGCCATCATTGAAGCTGCAGCTATCGTCCTCCATCAGCCACGGCGGATCCACGAACGACGCGAAGCCGACGTCCGACAGCTCGTCGATGGCGCACACGTCGCGCGGTGACATCTTGTGCTTCTTGGTTAAAGTGGTGATCTCGGTGGTGTACCCCAGAAGATTCCGAGGTCGCTTCATCGACGTTGTTGGCTTCACCGGTGCCGATGTCATCACGGCCACAGCCTTCTGCTTGAGCTTCATCTGGTCCACCAAGACGGCGAGCTGGGATGGGTGGCACCGCACGAGCACCTCGTGACTGAAGGTAGCGACACTAGCGCGCGTCTTGGTCCACTTGTGGAACCCGAAGTTGTTGAGCTGGCGTTGGAAGCTGGAGAACTTGCCGCGCTTGAAGTACTTACGCAGCACCTCGGACTCCAGTCGCGGCACGTCGTAGACCTGGACGTGAGATCCGTCGGCCGACCAGGATATAATGCGCTGGTCTTCGTTGTGCAGCATGTCGTAGACGGTGCGCACGAAGCGAGGCACAGTGGCGAAGGTCACGTCGCTGGTTTTGTTACTGTCTAAATTCATGTTTAGGCTGCTTTGGTTGGTTGTCGTAGTGGTTGGTTGTGAGGTTGATCCGACTGTTGTTAGAGTGGTCTGGGCAAATGGAACCCAATTGAGTAGTGATGGATCTTCCTACTCGAGGTCCTGCCGCTCTGGGAACAGACAGTTGGTCCGCAGCAACGTCGACAGCAGGATGAGGAGAAGCTTGTGTCAAGCTGCAAAGGATACTATAATTTGTCATAACTTTGCCAGACGATGCGTCAGATTCGCAAAGAACGCTCGACTAGCGATCTCGCTGCTGCGATGGGAGAATTCACCGAGAACGCACGTGGTGCGTGTGTTGGTCATGTGCTTTGTCAGAACACGGTGTTCTGATAAAGCACATGACCAGCATACTCAGACTCAACTAAGATCAAGTTGAAGTTTCCCAAAATTGGCTCGAACAGCAACAAGTCCACACTCCCTTGCCCACCATGTAAAACCGAACCAAGACTATTATGGTCCTCACATTAAGAGCATCCAACCTGACAGTCCTGAATAAATACTTGCATTATTGTCAATACCAACTCGCTTATCAACCCACACTGGCACGTGGCGGTGCTTTGCGGCTCGATCCGTTGAAAAGTCTTGAGTTCTGCAACAATCGTCGGGCTGCGGCTTGGGCAACAGGACTTGACAGCAACGACACTCCGGCACCACTAGGGCCTGCGTCACTATCTCCCGTGCGTAAGTCATGCAACAGTTCTCCAAACCCACGTCCATAACTGATATCGCTGGAGAAAACGTACGCTCGATCTTCTCGCTCGAACAATCTGCCCAAGGTAGAATCCACGCCGCGCGGTCTCTTGGAGAAATAAATCGGTACAATCGTCTTGCCTTTGTCTTCTGCAAACGCCAACTGGTCGCTCACCAGCTCGGTCTTGACACTGCGCTCCGATAACACGACGAGAAAGACCGAGCTCTGCAGGATCGCATCTTTCGCCGCTAATATACGCTCCTTGGTGCTGGATACATTGGTCATGGAATCGACCACGAACGGGAACTGGTGGCGACGAAGCTCCGTGCACAATCGCGTGACGAAGTCGCGATGGCAGTCGCCGTGAGACACAAAGATCGAGAACGTGGGGCCTCCTCCAAACGTGTTTCTCCTCCCACTTCCGCGAACGATCACTGCGTTGACAATCTCGTCCATCGCTCGACGTCTCAAAGTCGCAGCTCGACCCAACGGTTGGTGCTTGCTCAGAGTCGTTTGAGCCAAGTCTCGATCGCCTTCAAGTCGATGCATCTCGACCTCGTCTCGCAGTCCGTCGATGAGACTTCGGAGACTCGCTTGGAACTTGTCTTCGTCGATCTCGAACTCGATATGGTCCACACTTGACGTGTCCGATACACTGGAGCCATCTTCACTAGACTCGGCTGTCTTGAAGTGATGCGACGTCACGGCCTGGCCGAACGGAACGATCTGCCGCGTGAACACGAACAGCTGCAGTTCCTCCGACATTTTTACAGACTCGCAAGAGATTGGCACCACCGGAACCTCGTGCTGTTTGGCGAATGCCAGCTCGTCCATACACAACACACTCTGCGCGTAGCCATCACTGAGCATACACACGATCGCCGACGCGTGTTTCATGACCTCGAGCGATTTCTCTGACGCGCCGCCGCCCTGTCGACCCGCCGTGTCGTCCTCCACACTCCGCATGTATACCGTCATGAAATTCTGCTCAATGCCCGCACGCACACGCTCGGCGAAGACACGAAACACGGGGTCAAACGAAAGCACCACGTCGACACAAGCACCCGCGACTTTGACTGCGTACTGCAGCTCAGCGGATGCGCAGCATTCGACAGCGCGACGTCCTTCTCCGTTCAACGCATACAAGTCAGCTTTGCCCTCGACAAGCAAAGCCAGTGCCGTCTCTTTATACCCAAGTCGTAACGCGATGTGAAGAGGAGTCTCCTCTATCTCGGTGGGGACAAGAGCGTCGACATCTGCTCCAAAACGGACAAAAAGCTCGACGCAATCACCTCGCAGCAGTCCGCCATCCACAGCAAACGCTAAAGGTGTCATCCCACTATGGTCTAACTGTAGAAAGTCAGCATCTACAGCCAGAAGCTCTTCGACTGCATCCGCATAATTATGACGAGCAGCCCAATGCAGTGGTGTCCGTCCATGACTGTCCTTTGCATTGACGTCGGCGCCGCGTTTCACCAGTTCGCTGATCACACGATGTCGGCCCATCACAGCTGCCCAATGGAGTGGCGTACGGCTGTGTACGCCGCGCTGAAACTCGCCGAGAATGTCCGCGCTGATCCCCCATGACAGCAAATGTTGTACAGCAGCGAGATTCCCGGCAGCAGCAGCCTCGTGTAGTGGCGTCAGCGCAACGTCAGCGCCCCATTCCTCCAGCACAGTCGCCAATTCTCGACGACCCGAGAGCTGTGCGCGCTGAAGAACTGTAGTGCTGGCAGCATTGCCACCTCCCGGCACCAACAGGAGATTGGCTCGATGTCGGATTAGACACTCGACGACATCGGCCGAGTCCGCCAAGAAGATGGGAGGGACGCGCATGGAGCGCGAGAAGAAGCTGGACCGCGCAATGATGTCCAAGTTGGCGCCGAATTTCACCAGGAGATCAATCACCTGCGTGTGGCCGTGCAATGCAGCCACATGCAGAGGCGATCCCAGCACATGCGTCACTTTCTTCACTCGTAGTTGACACAGTTCGTACAGCAGCTCGAGATTGAGCGTCGCGCCCGAGATTTTGTCGAGAAAGTTGGGGTTCAGACCTGCTTCCAGCAACACCGAGACAACGCGCACGTCTCCTGCGCGACATGCAACATGCAGCGGGTTGTGTGTCCGATGGGAGAACATCCAGCAGAAGAGCGAAGGCGTCGTATACATGCGGTTGAGCAGCATGTCCAGCTGCACCTTGGACCCGAGCACATGCTCTGCACGCTCCAGCAGTTTCTCGACTGCTGCGCAGTTCCCACTCGCCGCGGCGTCATAAAGCGCGCCGCGTATTTGTCTCTCCACCGTCCGAACGGTGTTCTGCGTCGTCGCCCATGGATGCAGCTCCTGATTCAATGTTAAGTACGAATCTACGTGGTTCGACTGCAAGATCGGCGTCTTCACGCCACTTGTGGCGGGTGTTTTGCTCTCTGTGGCCTCTGCGGCATTGCCATTCCCTCCCGTTAGCGCAGTCGGGGCTACTGCCATCAGTTCGTCCTCCTCCAGACCCGCACCAAGCTGCAATTGTTGGTGTGCGCGAAGCTTGTCAAACTGTTGTGTGTGGAGCGCGATAGTAAGAATGGCAAGTAGTGTGACGTATGATACGGGGTCCGTCCAAATGGCCCACACGCCCTCCTCTGTGAGCTCTCCGAAGGCCCAGTATACGCCCAGCATTAGCACGACAATCCACGAGAGCGACACCGTCTGTACCACCACAATGGCCTCGAAGATGGCGAGCGTCAGAGTGCGTTCTAATGTCACTCCAGGGGCATCGAAAGCCGAGCGAGAGAGCGAGAAGGAGCTCACCGTCCGTGTGCCCAGCAGTTGCTCGCTTGTAGTCGCAGCTGCGAACGCTTCGACGTGTGGAATATCAATCACGCGCACGCGGTAGAGAGACACGGAGGGCAGCGCAGCTAGGCCCAGCGATATGTTGAGCGTCTGTAGTCCGAGCCAAATGTCGAGGACGACGCCTTGGGTGCTGGTGAAGAAGAGCAGCAAGAGAGACCCTATAGAGAGAAGAGATGTTGCCGCCACGCGCCATGTATAGTACGAGTTGGACCACTGGAGACACGCATCGACACCTCGCCACCGCAGCCTCGGACGCGAAGACGACGGAGGAGGAGGCGGTGACGTCGGCCCAGCGGCATCTGCAGCCATTTCAATTGTGTCACTTGGGTGGAACATCAGCTAGCAGTGAAATCGATAAAAGCAAGTGAGAACGGATTGGAGAGGGACCATTCCTGTTTAAGTAGATGTATATCGGATTGAACGGGGGTGCATCCGACCGAACACACCGTACAGTAGTCGGCTATACGATACAGCTCATGCTCGAGCTTTTGAGCTTTGCTTGAAGCGCTATCGGCTATCGGCTATCGTCTCGAGCTAATGTATAAACACCGAATGGAAGCTATGCAGGTTGCCTGTCCTGAACTTAGTGGTTTACAATCGCAAGCCGAGAATTCTTACGGCGACGATGAGAAACACGCGTCAAACGTGCTCAGTGACTTTATTTTAGCCAATTGACGAGCATTCTCTTCCTTATCCGTCCAATCATTGGATGAATAAGTGGCGAGCAAAACGAGTCGGTCAACCAATCAAGCAAACGACTTCAGAGAAGAAAGCAGACAAGAAGGAGTGTTCACGTCGCGCAACGCAGTGCGCCCACAGACCTTCAGACCGCCAGTCGCGCCACTAACATAGCTACTTGCCGAACATTTCGCGGCCCCGAACAGCCCAGTACAGGAACAGGAAAACAGGAAAACAGGTTAAGACTTGCCATGGCCAAGCGCATCAGAGTGGCAAAGCAGGAGGCCGCGCCCGCGGGTCTCCCAGATGCAGCTAATGCGGCTACCAACACTGCACCCAAAAGCAAGGCGGCAACGCCCTCAAGCGCCGAGGGAAAGCACGTGATGCTGCCCGCGTTTCTGTCCAAGACGTACGAAATTTTCAGCATGCCCGAGTTCTCGCATGTCTGCGGCTGGAACGCCAACGGAGACACCATCATCGTGTCGCAGCTCGAAGCCTTTGTGGCCATGGTGCTGCCGCGCTTCTTTAAGCACCGCAACTTTCCGTCTTTCGTGCGTCAACTCAACCTCTATGGCTTCCACAAGACGGTGCTGGACTCGAAGCGTCTCGAGTTCCAGCATCCGTACTTTAAGCGCGGCCGACCGGACCTGCTGCACCACATCAAACGCAAAGTATCCAACAGCAACCACCACAACCAGCAGCTCGTCAACTCGTCCATCCAGGTACAGCGTCGCGTTGTCATCACTAGAGCCGGTAGAAGGTTAATTCTAATGCTTTTTTTCTCTAACTATCAGCAGAACTCGCGGCTGGATGCGCATCGAGAAATCTCCGACACGTTACTGCGTGAGATGAAGGAGCTGCGTCAGCGCAGCGACGTCATGGAGAAGCGTCTTCGCGAGGTGGAGATCGACAACGCGGTACGAGCGATGTCCAGGCGTGTAAAAAACTCACTAGCAGACTCATTTTATTTTATTTTGTAATGACAGATTGTACGCAGTGACAATCTCAAGTTGTGGAAGCACCTGGAGCAGGCCAAGGACAAGCAGTTGATTATGCAGGAGAAGATGAAGAAGATCATGTGGATCCTGTTCCAGATCTACCGCGGGAAGCAACAGAATCTCCCCAAACTGTCCGGCAACGACGCGACGGGCGCAGTTATCAGCGAAGAGTACGTGTCGTACGCATGTGAACCCTTGGGTTGGCTTGTGTCTCGTGCCGTGGGATGCGTGACTAACCGTTTATGCTGCTGTGGTGTTTTCTTAATTTCGTGTCTGCTTCCTGTTGGCTCTGAACTTTTTTTCGACCTATTGGTAGCTGCATCCACAGCAGTATGCTTGGTCCCAAGGAATTTCGTGATGTATTGCGCTTCTTGGCGATGGACGAGCCCCCGCTATTGCCTGGATCGACCGATGTCGCCACTGCAGCTGCTACGTCGCGAAAACGGAAGTTCGTCGAGGTTCCGTCGGATGTCAGTGGCGCTGCTCCGTATAAATTAGGTGCGCTTATTTTTTTTTAGGGATTTTGGTATTTATTCTGACTTGTATTTGTCAGATGTAGAGCCATCGTCTGTTATCGACATGTCCAGTGCAGTGGAGGAATCCAACCCGTTTGCAATGACTGTGCCGTCCAGCTCACTCACCATGGCGCACGCGGACAGTGTACACAACAACGTGCTGAGCATCTTTTCGCCGATTAAAAGTGCACTTAACAGCAGTGTACCCAACGTTGATACGACGCTGGGTGGACTTCTAACGAATGGTGTGGCCTCTCCGCGAGTATCGTCGCCGCCGCCGACCGTATCGACGCCTACGACGTCGACTCCGACGGCATCGGCGCCGACTGCACCTACTGTGACTGTGTCGACACCAAACGTCAGTACATCGGCCGCTAGCAGTCCGGCACCGAGCGAGAAAGCAGCTGCAGTTGACGCCGCGGCGGATGCGAACCACCAGCTGGCGTTTCTGGACGAAGAACTCCCTTTGCTGCCGGAATCCGACCACTACAGCTTCAGTGACGGCGAACAGGTACTGTCAACACATCCTGTGGTCTTTGGTTTGAGCGTATTGGTGCTCTATACTGTAGATTGTGTGGTCTAATGGCGTGTCTTTTGATGGGCTGTGCATTAGCAGGCAGTAATGAAGAAGCTCGAGGATTTTGAGACGTCACTTTTGGACGAATACGACGTCAGTTGCCTTGACACATTGCTACAGCAACTGAAAAACGCTAATGGAGAGAAACCGGCAGGAATTTCGGTGGCAGAACCGGAGGAAGTTGTCGTGGGACCGACCAACGCGTCGCCGAACGATGCGTAGCCACCTCAGCCACGAAGTTACATATCCACGTACATGTCAAGCGAGTTGCCGCGCGTGCTGGTCGTCTACAGGTAGGACTGCTGTACATGTCCTCCTTTTACCGACCGACAGCAGCGTGGTGGCTTGCGTCTCCTCGCCAAGATATAGAAACAGATCGAGTGTGCAAAAAGTCAAGTAAAAAATAAATAATGCGGAGTGATGGAGGCACAAGAGGCGAAACCCAAGAGACGGAGACGAGTTCGTACGAACAAACAGCCAACAGTTGATGCGATAGGCATTCGACGGCAGCGAACGAGCGCTCCGAACCGATGACGAACACATACACGCGGCTGGTTTTATTTATGCAATTATGCGAGAATTGAAACAACCAAAAGAAGAAAAAAAAAGTGGAGTAAATATCCTCATTGTTTTATGTCTTAATCTTGTTCTAAGTGCTGGTTTCTAATTGACTACGTAGTCGTTTGATTTCCTTGTCCTTTCGTCCGAGCTCCAGTTGCGCAGTTGCAAATAGTGTCGAGATGTTGCTCTCCAATTGTTTATTCGCGGCGCCGAGCTGTCGGTTCTGCTCTTGTAGCTGCGCCAATTCGTCTCGCAGTCGCTTGTTCTCCTTCTCAACTTTCGTCTTGAGGTCCAGCGCCTCCTTCTTCTCCAGCGCCTTGGTGGACGTGTCCAAGTCGCCGTACAAATCGTCCATGTTGGGCGTCAATCCGAAAATAAGACTTACAAACTCCAAGTCATTGACCGTTTCAGAAATAATTGTTTCGGAAATTATTGCAATAGTGGCTCACGATGGATTCGAGGTGCATCAAGTTCTGGGAGGATGGTCAAGCGTTGGTGGCCGCATTCGCCGAGCCGGCCAAGGCTGAGACGACGCAAGCCAAGATCTTCAAGGAGTTGCGTACCATGAGTCGCTTCCTGCAGCGCAACCAGAGCCAGCGATTCAGCGACGCCGCTCAACAAAAACTCGTCGACTGCTTGGGGCACTATGTCGGACTGAGCAAACAGGGAGGCGTGATGTTCCCAGTGGCAGAAGCCACGTTCCAGACAGTAAAAGACAGCCTCGCTATGCCGTTTAATGTGGTCGGCACGAAGCAGAAGAAGCGGTTGCTGAAATGGTACAACGAGCTCATCGCAATCGTCGGTGGAGACCCGGACGCAACAATTACTGGCGAGATTGTTGCTGAGCCGAGTATCGAGTGGAGTGTCATGGACATCGATGAGGACGGATTCTTGTCGCTTATACAAGTGGAAACAGGCGAGACCAACGAGAGTTTTCGGGTAAAGAAGAAGGGCGCAGAGCACAAACGAATCAAGACAGCAGTAGAGAACAACGAGGTCATTGTAGTGACAAGTGGCGACGATATTAAGGAGATCCGAGTGGAAAACGAATAGATGGGACGTCCGTGTCTGCACGTTAGATGATAATTAGAGGTGGCTAAAATGCATCGAGTGTTGGACCCATCAAGGTGCCTGCTACTCCGTTAGAAGGGGCTAGCAGCATCCGTTTTCTGCCGACTTTCAGTCCACGCTTTGGCGATCGAGCGCTTCATCTCATCGTCACCTTCATCGTACATGTTCTACGACAGGAAAAAGAAGGTTAGACTGCGTTACAGTCAGCTGAGAGTCAACGCACGAACGCACCTTCATCATGTCCATGATGCCTGCAGAAGGGTCGCTAGTGTCGGGTTTGCTAGTCTTCAGCGGGTTTTTGGCCGTGAGGTTCATCCACATGTTATTCTTGTCCGCCTTGTACAGCGAGATCGTGACGCGGTTCTTCTTCACGCGGAACGAGCTCTTAACCGGGTCGATCTCCTTCTCCAAGTTGTGTTTGACCAGCCTGCATCCCACGTCACTCAGTACTCAAGAGATCAAACTGTATCTCAGCTTCGCCACCTACCGGTAATTCTTGCTGTCCAGCCCAATAATCTGTCGCAACAACAGCAGCAAAAATACACGTCAGCGACCTAGTGCGCCGACCACTATTTAAACTGTAGCAGCTCTTCGCACCTTCAGGTCGAACGATGTCTTGGTGAAGTGGCACGTCACGTTCTCCTGGGGCAAATTGCCGACCCCGTCGATGCCCGACATGATGTAGACAGCCACCTTTTCCTTGCCGTATCCATCGTCTTCCCAGCCAAAGCGACTAATCTCCGTGAACGTCGTCAGGTCGCTTGCTGCAGGGCGAGTTGCAGTCACTTTGGCGGGCTGTGGGTCCACCTCTTTGGGCCCTTCCTGGGGCTTCTTGGCGGCCTCCAGCGCCTTCTGCTTGCGCTGCAGCAGCTGCTGCAGGTCGCGGCGGTTGCCACTCGTCTTGGTCTGCTCTAACAGCGTCTGCAGCTCAGCGACTTCCGCCGCCAAATTGTCGGTCATGCCTGCCATGATACAGTGTTACTGTACTCAGAAGTTTTTGCGATCCAATTCGAAAGTGACGGCTGAAAAGGCAACAATTGAAAGCTTTTTCTAGAACAAATTTTGAAAACAATCTAATCAAAGACAATAATTTTATTCAGAAATTGCAATTAGCACCAGCGACTATTTTTGGATGAGTATTTGTTTCGACCTGGTGTTTCAGCACTCGATAATTATCGGCGCGAAAAGATGGACGTTCGAGCCCCGGTCTCGCTCGCTACCGGGGCCGCTAGGGACACGTCGCCGGTATCTCCGCCTCCCCTAAATGCAGAAGACCTGGCTTTAGCGCCTGACGGCCTGATTCTTGAAGCTATGCCCTCTGAAGTCCCCGCACAGACAGTGCGAGCGGCGCTATCAACGACGACAGATACGACCCCCAGCGGCTCTCCCACGCACGCCGCTCTTGTCTCTAACGAGCAACGTACAGGACAAAACAATGCCAGCACTCACGAACTGCCGAACACTCCGGAGACTGAGAGATCAGCGAGCGAAGGAGTGGCGACTCCAACAGAGAGCGAAAAAGGCGCGAACGGGACTCAAAATACAGGCAACAGAGACCGGATCGGGACGACGGAGGCGGCCATCAAAGCACAAAATGGAGATATTAAAGCTACAGGACAACCGAAAGAACAGGTCAGCGCTGCAACAGGACAAACAGAGCAGAAGAGTGTGAAAAAGTGGTTCGATGTGCTGCCGATGGTGTTGCAGAACTTTAAGGCGCAAGATCGCGAACAGATCCGACGTACGCCCTCTATTGAGTGAGCTGCCTAACGATTCACCGACATCTGACGTGTGTTTCTGCGTCTACAGAGTTGATGCTGCCACGTTGCGAGCTGTGCAAACGAGGCAAAGTGGATAAGAAGGCGGAGGTGAAATGCAATCACGACAGATGCATTATGAGAGGTCGTGCGCTGTGTTCTTCTTGCTGGAAGTTAACCCATTCATCGGAGAGCGGACGACAGCACCTCCAGCTTCCTGCTTCTTGTACGTTTTTTATTCTAATGAAATTAGTGATACTAATTTCGTGTTTCTTATTTTGTGTGTTGCAGTTTGTAGACAGTGCCAACTAGACCACGTCGCGTATTGGTGTGCAGAGTGTGACTTGCAGCTCTGCAAAGATTGTTTTGAGCAGATCCACAGTGTCCCCAGGACTAGAGGCCACCGCAAACTTGCAACTGAAGGTTTGTAACTAAAGTCGGGAGATGGATTGATATAATAATTTACTAATAATTTGTTACAGATGCACCCGGAACGTGTTTAGGAAAGTCACATTGGGCTTCGAATTTCCAGAAGGTGATCTTTCAAATGATTACAGCGCGGAAACGTCCACCTCCAGTGTCCAATGGCAGCTCTGCCGACAGTGTTGGGGTCAAACGGAAGCGCGATGTTGACGTGATCGTTATTGATGGCTCCGACGACGAGAAACCTGACGATTCAGTGATGAAGAGCGCCCAAGCAAAGTCGACGCTTGCCAATGGAAACTCAGGCCAACAAGGTGGCAATACAGGGAATCAGCAACACAGCAGCACAACACGAAGCGGGCTGTCGCGTTCCAGTGAACTCTTCTGCCAGCTTCAAGTCCCGTTGCCGCCAGCTTCTATTAACCCGCCTTTTCAAGCTCCAGCGGGTATGATGGAGCCTATTCCGCTCTCGCAAGCGCAAACCCAAGCGACTTCAACGCCCTTGCCTTCACCTGATGCAGTACAGACTAGCGCAGCGTACACAGCGTCGAACACTGTCGATATCAGCTCGAGTATGGGGTGGAACGGCAGTGCGTCTCAGTGTGGAGCTCCAGCAGCGATGGGGAATGCGAACGGCAGCGCAGCCTACACGTCGAGTGTCATGAGCAACGGGATGAGCACAACGGACGGAATGTGGTCCACAACGTCTGCCATCAGCACAGATTTGGTCAGCGCGTCCAATGTCAGTACTCTTCTACCTCTCGGAGGCGCCGTCTTTGCTGAGAACGCGCTGGTTGACTCGTTAGTGGACCGGTATCACGAGGTGAACCAGAACGTGGCGAATATGGAGCGACAGACGGAACAGCTGACCAGGCATATCGCAGTCGCCACGTGCCAAGGACCGTATGTGGCGGGGCCGATCATGGCATTGCTGAGCAAGCTACAGCCTATACTGGAGGCAGCGCGAGTGCGGCGAGACAAGCTGCTGATCGCCATGATTATCCAGTCCAAGGACATCATGGCGTGTGTGCGGGTGCTGCGTCTGGCAGAGCTGGGCGACGTGCCTCAAGTTCCCATGATTAGCCACCGCAAGTGTCTGCAGATATCGACCGAGATCAACCATCACAAGACGAAGCTCATCGAGTTGAATCAGCATCTCAGTGAGACGCTGACGCAGTCCAGTGCAGTAAGCTCTAGCTGGGAGAGCACCTTCATCCGAACGACTAGTACGAATATCCAGATGCACGAGAAGAGTATCAAGGAGCTGAAAAAGGCCCGCGAGGTCGAGTTTGTGCGCATTGTGCAGTTCAGTCTCAAGATCCGCGAAGGACTCAAGGCTGCGTTCCAACGCACTGTAGATATCCAGCGTCAGCAGCAACGACAGGACTTTCAGCAGTATGGATAGTTTTTTTCTTTCTGCTTTTGCAGCGCTAGGCAAACGGATTATTTAATGGCAACACAATGCACTTGTGTTAACCATGTTGGAACACGAGGAAGCCGATCTGACCTACGAAGAAGTAGAGCATCCTGTATGTGGGTTTAAGATGAGTGAAAAGGTTGCTAACAATTAACTGAGACGGAACCTACTTTTTGACCTCGTGCGAGACGAAGGACCCGAACGATTTGCCCACGATGACATGCCACGCGCCTTGTTGCGTTTCTTCGATCTCGTGTTTGATCTGTTGCGCCACCTCTGTGAAGTGGTTCTTCTCGCCCTTGAAGAGCGCTTTGAGTGCGTTAGTAGCGCTTGTGAGGATGAGCTCTTCGAGTTCCTTGGACGTGTCCTGGTACACGATACGTAGAGCCCCCACAGCGACGTCGTCTTTCTTTTGAGCTTTCGACATGGTTGGGAGACGCTTCCTGACCGTTAGACGCTTTCCAGCTAATTCAAGGAATGAGTTTTGGTGCATTTGGTTCCAAGGTTTAAGCATGACGGACATTTACGAGCGTCTAGTGCATCAAACTGTGAGCTGTGTGTTGTTTGGAGAACCTTCCAGCGGCGCTGTGAGCACTGGTGATGAAGTCATAAAGGGAGTTGGGACTGAAGACTCGCTTCTTCACTTATTCCTCCGCGATGGAGAGGACCCTGCTGAAGACGAGGACAACAATGCAGATGAAGTTCGCCGTGATATGTGGCTGGTTGAGTGTGTGGAGTGGCCCATCGAGCGTCTACGCCGTGAAAAAGCCGCTGTCAAACGCTATCTCCAAAGTCAGAAGCTTCAGAAGCTGTCGGGTGACATGCTGGTGCTTCATGAAGTGTACGCGCTGCTCAAGCTTTTCCTCCTCGAGAGAGACCCGCACTATCGTCGAGGTCTGCAACACTGCACCAGCTCTTTTTTAACGTCGCTGCATGTGCAGCTCTCACTGTACGCTACGTACTTTGAACGTGCCTATGGGAGACAGGTACATACGCATGCCATTTGTTGTCTCTTATTGACTTTACATCTGACTTTGCTACTGTGTAGATCTCGAAGAAGACCGACGTGAAGCCAATTGAGACGCTCTATGAATTGTTCGTGCAGCAGACGGAGTAAAGAGAAGCCAACGCAATGAAGTTCTTCGTTGACGCAGTTACATTTGCTCTACACGAACGAACTGTGCGTGGGGATGATGTCATCCTTCTTGGAATCCATACAGGGCACAGACTGCCACGCGTAGTAGAAAGCAGCACCGCCCATCACGTGCATGACGCCCTTGGCGAGTCCCAGAGCCGTGTGGCTCTCGTCGCTCTCCAAGAAGATAGCGATGAAGCCCACAATAGTCGCCCCAGCCAGGCATCCCACTGCGTACGTCGCGTTCTGCTTGTTTAAAGGGGAAATGTCGCTGCTGGGCGTGAGGACGCGACGATATATAAGGCCGAGCAGGTAGCAGACCACGAGAAATCCTTCATACAGTGTCGAGTCCCATCCGTCCTTGGTCTTGAAGAGCCAGGCGCCTGCAAACGCCACGTAACGCAGTACGATGTTGTGGCTCTCGTCCTTGTAGCCCATGAGATGCACGCAGAGCAGCAGGAAGTACGAGATGGACAACACGTCGGAGATAAAGTGCCACTGATCCTCTCTCAGGAACAGCTGCGTGGCAAAGGCCTCGGCAGCATTAAAGCTGAACGCAACGATAAGCTGCAGCACCCCGATGAACAACTCAAAGTGGCGGCGATTGCGCTTCATCACGTCCAGCGCCGGCAGCATCGCCGCGTCTGTAAGCGCCAGGAACACGAAGCGCCCGATCTCCAGCAACATGGTCGAGTATGGCACACGTAGAGCCAAAGCGCAATCTAATCGTGTATTCAACCAATCAAAACGCGTAAAAGCATGTGCACCTGTCTAAACAGCTACTATCGAATTAAAAGGGGGCCTCTTGAATGCGAATCCCGGTAGTCGTCATTGTTCAACCTGCGATCAAGTCTGTGACTATGGCAGTGGCAGCGTCTCCCATTCTACTGGATGGCAAGGCCACAAGCGACGCAATCTGCACGCAGCTGCAGCCTCAATGTGTCGACTTTAAGCAGCGCTACGGTCGCTCCGTGGGGCTGGCAGTTATGGTCGTGGGTTCCCGCAAAGACTCGGCCACGTACGTGCGGATGAAGCAGAAGGCGTGCACTGCTGTCGGTATTACGTCCTGGAAGATCGCAATCGCATTGGACGATAAACCTCAGGAGAGCGTAACCAGCGAGCTGCTGGCCATTATCAAGCAGCTCAACAACCGCGAGGACGTAGACGGCATCATCGTACAGCTCCCGCTACCATCTTTCTGCGACGAAAGCGCCATTCTCGCCACTATTGCCCCCAATAAGGACGTGGACGGCCTGCACCCCGAGAGCCACGCCAAGCTCTTCCAGTACGCAACTACCAAAGCTCAGCTAGTGCCTTCATTCGCCCTACCTTGCACACCTGCCGGTTGTCTGGAGCTACTGGACCACTACAAGATCCCTCTAGAGGGCAAACACGTCGTCGTGATGGGTCGCAGTCAGATTGTGGGTCTGCCTGTGTCGTTGCTGTGTCTGCATCGCAATGCTACAGTCACCATGTGCCACTCACACACTCGTGACCTTAAGGCGCGTGTGCTAGAGGCGGATATCGTCATCGCAGCCATCGGACGGCCGTGTTTCGTCCAAGGAGATTGGATCAAACCGGGCGCAACGGTCATCGACGTGGGTATTAACCCACTTGAGGACGCCACCAAGAAGAGCGGATACCGTCTCGTAGGCGACGTGGACTTCAACGCAGCAGTAAAAGTCGTACATGCCATCACGCCTGTGCCTGGAGGCGTCGGCCCCATGACTGTAGCCATGCTACTCAAAAACACCCTCCAGTGTGCTATTCGACGTGCGCAACAGTAGCCAAAACTCTTTAGTGCTTAGGAGAATCACCCAAGGTCAAACTCTTGGCTGCTTATCCTACTAGGTAAGGCGACAACAAAGCACAATGTTCCCTGACCCTCAAAATGATCCTCAGTCGAAGAGAAACTCCTGCTCGTCTTCGGACGAGAACTGCCCGCTCTCTTCCACGAGCTGCACGTCTTGATGCAGCTCCTCCCAATACCCTGTTTGTGCTTGCTCGACTAGAGGAGACGCGTCTTGATCAACACGAAACGAGTGCATGGACGCCTGACGCTGATGCAGCTCCTGCACAGCTTCCTCCAGTCTCTCCAGCGCCGTCTTCTCACTCGCTGGACGTTTAAGTTTCTCTTGTTCCGCAGCGCCAGCTTTCCGCTGTGCTTGAAGCAGCAGCCGCATACATTCCAGTTGGCCATACGCGGCAGCGATCTGCGCCGGCGTCTCCCAGTCGCAATTACTCCACGTCGGGTCAGCTCCAAGGGATAACAAGGTCTGGGTCACTGTAGCACGACCTGCAAACGCCGCCCAATGCAGCGGCGTGTCGCCTCGTTCGTCGGCGACGTTCACGTTGGCTCCATGTTGCACCAAGCGAGTCATCAGCTGAAGCGCAGCGTTCGAGTCCACTGCGTAGTGCACGGCAGACCGATGTAACTCGTCGACAGCATGGACGTCGCAGCCTCCTCCAGGGGTCAAGAGGAAAGCAGTCATAGCCACATCATGCGAGAGAACAGCCAAGTGCAGTGCTGTGCGGCCGTCTGCGTCGCCGTGCGCATGGAGCAGACGATTCCACTCGAAATTCGCTTCGGTGAGCACGATCAACTGCTTGGCACACTCGACGAACCCCATTCCAGCGAGATAATGCAGTGGATACCGACCCGATTTGTCGGGTGTGTGCAGCGTGAGTGCTGTCGGGACGAAAGACGCCATCGTCTCGGGTATAGGCGTCTCTGCGATGGAGTCTTTGAGCATAAGTTGCTGCAAGAAGCCGCAGATCTCCACTTGGTCTTGTTGACACGCGCGATGCAGCACATTCTGGCCTTGATTGTTGGTCAGTCGCAGGTCCGCGCCATGTTGCAGCAGCTTCTGCATGAACTCGAGGTGCCCTAGCGACGCGTACAACATCAACGGCGTCTCACCGTTGCAGTCGACAGCGTTGACGTTTATGGTCGCACCACAGGTAAGCAAGAAGTCCAGTACTTCAGCTCGCGATCGATGGTTCTCCTTGGAAAACGACAGGAGATGGAAGGCATTGCGTTGTGTCTTTGGGTCGAGAGCTCCGAGATCTGCTCCTTGTTGCTGAAGAAACGTCGCGGCTTCCAATGATGCGGCCTCTACCGCTGTGAAGATGGTTCCTGCGTTCTGTGCGCGCGGCGAAGTGACTGGACGTTCTTGGACACTTGTATCGACTTTTAAGAGCTGCTGACGTCCGGTTTGAGCATGTTGCTGCTCCATGTGTTGCATCAGCTTGATAGATAGAGGTAACTCCAGTTCTCCGACGTCGTGATAGCGCAGTTCAGGCCTCGGGTTAGTATTGTGTTCCATGCAGACTGGAGACTGGACAACGTGCCAGGCATCGCTCGCGAGTTCATGCAGGACTTGCTGAATCTCTGACGTCAAATATTCGTTACTTGGCTCGAATAATTGCAACAAGTTACGCGTCAGGAGCTCGTCGAAGCGAAGACGTAGGATGGAGACGTTCGGGTTGGTCTCGGCTGTTGAGGACTTGGCTACGTTCCAATCCAACCAGGCACGGGCTCTCCAGAAGTAGAAGTGAAAGTGTTCGTGGTTGGCCGCCCCACCTGAAGTGGTAAACGAATGCTGGAAGTGAAAGTGCATCTGCTGCCGTCGCTGGTGTCCTCGCACACACTTTTGCAGTACCGTGGCTGCTTCATGGCAGAACAAAACCTGGTTCACACTGCGTGATAAAATGTGAGGAAGCTGTCGGTGGCTCCAGTCAACGACAGTCGACTCCACAGCACTATGCACCACATCCACTTGAGCTTCTTCATCACGAGACACATCTGTTGGCTTCTCCGTTGGCTCTACTATCTCCAGTTCCTCTCCTATCGACAGTTCTTGCAAATTCCGTTCCTGCGACTCGATCGACGTCGGCGTATGCTCTTCAATGAGAGACTGGACTGCTGCGTCTCGTTCCTCTACTCTGTCAATCGCTGTCTCGAGTTCAACCTCGTTCTCCCTCTCCACGACCGCTCTGTGGGACACCCCGGTCGTCGCAATTAGTCTCCGTCGAGAAACCAATGCTCGTTGTATGCGTTTCGCTGCCAACGTGCGCTTAGCCGCTATCAGCTTCCGTTCGAGCGCTTTGGCTTGTTGGATTAAACGCAGTTCCTCGCTCTTCGCAGCTGCGCGCTTCGCTTGTCGAATACCAACGTTCCACTGTCGCCGGCACACTTGCACTTTGGTTGCGAGCACTGAGATCAGGAGTTGGTATTGACGCACGTCCTCGGCGTGTTTCGCCTCCACTGCTTGCAGGTACAGACCCCGGTACAGCCAGCCTTTCCAGACCGCCTCAATTTTCGTCGCAGCTCTCGCCTGTCGTCGACTCTGATGGTATCTCTTGACTGCACGTGCGATGCACTGTCCATACGATCTCTCGGTGATCGTCTCGAGTTTCTGCTGCCGCTCTAGCTCATATCCAGCTTGGTTGAAGGCCGTCGTCGCACTACTGCGTTTACGTTTCTGGAGTCCAGCGTCTCCACCTTTCGTTCGCTGCTCAAGACGCAGATACCGCCATCGTCTCCAGTGCTTTTGGATCTTCAACGCGTTTAAATTCTGCTTGTGTCGAAGACGCATCTCGATCACTTTCCGTCGCCGATGCGAGATCCCCAAGCTCCGTTGGATCTTCAGAGAGCTCTCGTCTTGCTCCTGTCGAATGCGTTCGCGCTCCAGTTCTTCCTCTTGTTCGTGGTGCCACTTGAGCCACAGCGTCTGGATTTTAAGCGCAGCCATGTGCTGCTCGTGCTGAACACGCTGTCGCTCCATCTTACGTCGATGCTGTCGAAGTCCCCAAGTCCGCTGGATGGTCAACGAGCTAGCGTTGCGTATCTGTTCCACCTGTTGAAATCGTTCGTCTTCCTGTTGGGTTCTCTCCACTTCACTGTGGCTCTGAACTGCAGCATGATGCGCTCTCCACTGCTTTTGAATGGCCAAGACAGCACAAATCTGGCGTCTTTGCTCGTGCCATTTCTTCCATGTCCGTTGAAAAAGTATCGCGCTGACACGCTGGCTTTCCACCTCTCGTTTCCTAGCTCGCTTCACTTCTTGCTGACGACGCCATCGACGCCAGTTCCCCTGAATGCGCTGAGCTCCGATGTGCCGTTTACGCTCAGCCTCCTGCTTGTTTCGACGCGATAGTTTTGCTGTCCAGTTGTGCTGAATTCTAGCAGCCACTGCGCGTTCTTCTTTTTCTTGTTGTTCTCGCTCCGCCTTCTCTACTGATCGCTTACGCCAGCATCTCCAGACTCGTTGGATCCGCTTGACAGCACAAGTTTCACGCTTTTGCTTCTGCTTTCGTGCTTTCTCCTTCTCGTACTGCCGTCTACACAACCGTCGACGCCATCTTCGCTGTATCCGAGTAGCTGCCACCGTTTGCTCCTTCCGTTTACGTTCAGCATTCTGCTTCTCCTTATGCCACTTGTTCCATCGTGTCTGGATCCTCTTAGCGCTCTCCTCTCGTCTACAGCTCCAGTCTCGCCAGCTTCGCCAGCATTTCTGCAGCCTTTTAGCGCAGCATTCTCGCTGGATTCGAAGTCGTTGTCGTGCTCGCTTGGCATTTCGCCGTCGTTGCCACTCCCTCCACTTCTTTTGGATCACTTGAGCACACGCATTGTGCAGGATACGCGTCCGTGTCGCCTTCACTCGCTGCGTCTTTCGCCACGTTCTCCACCATCTCTGAATACGAACAGTACTTGAGAGTACAGCGCGATGAGCACGTCGTCGTGCTCGCAGCTTCTTCTCGAGTACCCACCGTCTCCAAACTCGCTGGATCTTACGCGCGTTAGCTCGAATTCGACAGACTTTCAGCTGCGCTTCAAACGCCAATCGCTGCACGTGTCTTCGCGCTCGTTCGCCTTGAATCCATCGTCTCCATTCCGCTTGAATCTTACGAGCGCTAGCTCTTCGACGTATCGCTTCGACGTGCTGTGAGAACAACAACCTTCGCTCTTGCTCACGCTTCACCCAACGTCTCCACACGCTCTGAATTCTGCGTGCATTGGCTCGAGTTCGAATCACTTCCAGATGTGCGTTAAACGCTACTTGCTGTTCCTGTCTTCGCTCTCGCTCACGTTGGACCCATCGCCTCCACACTCTTTGAATTTTTCGAGCATTGACGCGAGCTCGAATCGACTCCAAGCGCTGCTCTTCTCGTCTTCGCTGTGCTTCAAGCCAGTCTCTCCACCACACCTGAATCCTTCGAGCCACTGCTTGGCACTTGGCTTCTAGTTGAGTCAGTGCTAGTTGTTGCGCACGTTTAATTCCCATATATCGTCGCCAAACGCGTTGAATTCTCCGAGCATAATTCATGTTCCGCAAGTGTTTCAACCTCGCGAATGTGTGCACCTGCGTCTTGCAGAGCTGCGCCACACTGGCTAAGCCTAGGCTGATGCCTCTGTCACTCTCTCGTTCAGTCAGAAGCTTCAGCTGGATAATAATCTGCACCAGCTGAGCTCGCGTACGTTCAGCGATCGACTTGTCCAGTGCTGCCTTCTGCTTGTGCTGGATTTGAATCAGTTCCACTGTTTTGTGGTTGCGCTGCTGGCTGATGCGTTGGTGCAGCAAGTTCGTCGCCTTGATCGAGGAGATCTCGCTGTTCTTTGCTTCGATCATGTGGCGTTGGTGTCGCTTCTCCTGCTCCAAGTCGTGCGCTGCCAGTGCTCTGATAGCAGCCTGCTCCTTATGAACTTTAGAGAGCTGTACTCGTCCGGATACCCAGGACGCTATCAGGTGCATACTCGCTTGGACTCTGCTCTGCTCTAAGACCAGTGCAGCTTGCCGCGCTTGCTCCTCCTTCTCTACTGCCAACAGATTCCTAGCAGCCTGCAGAGCCTCTGAACGCGTTTCCATCTCCGATAAGCGCTGCTGAAGATCACAGGCAATGGAGACAGCAGTTCGACGCTGCTCCAGCTGATCTTCACTGGACATGAACTCACTCTCCGTCTTCTCGGCTTGTAGCTGTGTTTGATGCAGCAAAAGTCTTCGTCGCTCACGTTCTGCTCGTCTACAGAGCGTCCGCGCGTCCATAAACGCCTTGATCTTCTGTCTCGCGACGCGTTCTTGAGAAATCCGTTCGCGCTCTTGATGCGCTTGCAGCATTTGACGATGCTGAGCGTCCGTGTGAGTCGCTTCTCGTGACATCCGGTCAAGTTTGCGCTCCAGTACTCGCACTTGAGTACGAGTCTTACCGATACGCTGTCGACTGTCAACGTCCAGCTTCTCCTTGGTGAGTACCTGTTCTTTAAACTTAAAGTTGTAGCTTCTCTTCTCCATTTCAACTCGTTGCAGCTTCTCGTGCAGAAGACAGAGACGGAAGAACATCTGGATCTTCAGTGCTGCGAGGCGTCTCTTTCGTACCTCAACAGCTTGCTGTTGCTGCTGCACCACGCGCTCGTGGTGCGTTAGCAGCAGTAGTCGCTCATACTCGGAAGCTTTCCACTTGCGATCGAGGTCTGCGAACCTCGCGTTCATATCGGCGATCAGTTCGATCCGATGCTTGGAATCAAGCTTCATAGTACGCTCCATATCTCGCCTCGCCTTCGTCCACTTGAGCTGCTCCTTGAACAGAATCTTCTTGGTCATCTCCTGAGTCGCCTTCAGCTTGCGACGCAGTAGAATTTCCTTCAAGAACTTCTGAATATCCCTGAACGCCCTCGTTCGTCGCTCTCGCTCTCGAGCGATTCTCTCGTATCGCTGTTCCTTCTTCTTGATAAGGAGACGCTGACGTCTCCACCACCGCACGATTCTCTCCTTTGCATCTTCGCGTCGACGTCGTCGTCTTGAGATCCCCACGAAGAACCGCGCGCGATGAAATGTCATGTGAACAGCGCGAAAGTCAGCTTGTCGCTGCGCTACGGTCATATAGTGGCGGAATATTCTCCAGTTTCGCTGAATTCGCGTTGCTGCGAGGAGCCGACGACGATTCTCTTCGTAGGAACGAGCTTGTTTACGTCTTCGATGATGGTCAAGCACAAACATTCGGATTTTCCGTCGTGCCACCAGTCTACGCACCACCACTTTAGCTCGTTTGTGACCAACCACCCAACGTTTCCACGATGCGATGTTCCTTTTCAGCATCTTTAGCTCGCGTTCCAAGTATTTAGGAGCGTTGTCCGCTTTGGACACGCTTTGGACAGTGGGCGATGCGTAGCCCAAAAGACAAGAGAATGGCTGAGCAGCTGACTGGATATATTCCTCCACTTCTCGTTGCGATACCCAATGACTCATGTCGAATGCCGCCACTTGGATGTCGCGACAGAGCGAGAAGATGCGGTTCAACTCGGAGCCTTCCTCTTTAACGTCAGCTTTGAGATTTGCTGCTGCTGACGGTGGCAAGTTCGACAACATGCTTCGAGAAGATACAGAAGACGAATTCGCCGTTCTCTCACTTGTCAGGTCAAAGCCACGGGGGGCCAAAGGCAGCAGATGAATCGGCTGGGTGATCAGCTCCACAGAGACGTTGCTATGAGCTGAGATAGCAGAGATCTCGCCCATTAAGCCTTCGTCCGCTTCGACTGAACATCCTTCCACTTGAGATACGAGAGAGCGGTCGGTATTGAGAGAGTCTGCATCTACTTGAACGTCAGGAGCAGAGAAAATGTCACCTCTCGAGACACCAGGCAGTAGACTCAAAGCCATCGCAATACTCGAGATAGCGGTGCTTGATGAGTACGCGTACTCATCGTCTTGTGTTGTGGGCGTCTGTACTTTCTGGTCGACACTTTCACGTCCAGTTCGACTAGATTCCACACAGATACCAAGCTCGAGCAGTGTAGACGTAGGCGTTGTGTAGTCATTTGACGCTGTCGTGTTCGGGAGTAACACGATAGCGGAGCCTTGCGGTTCAATAAGCGGTACTGTTTCTGCTAAGGTTGAAACTTCATCGGCACGCGGGGATTCAGTAGACGAAAGCGAGAAGTCTGGCAGCATCTGCAACGCCATCGCGATACTGGACAACGCAGAGTCGGACGAGTACTCAAAGTCGCACTCGTACGCGTTATCGTCGCTTGGTTCGGCTTCACGGATGTCCTCTGCCTCGCACTCGTCAGGGACTGCCGTTTCTATAGCGTTAACTAAGCGATTCAGCCTCTCTTCGACCGTATCGCGTGGTAGGACCGACGGCTCCGTGACGGGATTTAAGTTCTCGCCATTTAACGCTGGTACAACGTCCACGTCAATGACTGAGACCGAAGACTCCCTACCTTCTTCATCTTGAAGTGACCGTCCGGACGAACTCCTGCTGGTTGTTTGCGTCGTTGCCACTATCGGGGTGTTTAATTGACTCATTTGGACTCCGGCATCAGCGAAAGTCGCCTTAGCAGTTCTGCTTTTCTTTTGGGATCCAGATTTATCCAACGAACTCGACGACTTTGCAATTGCAGCGGTGTTCAACAGCGGGATCAGTCGCGTACTTGCCACATTGGCATCAGTCTCAGTCGTCGAGTTCCTTGATGCATCTGATCTCACAGAGTTCTGGTCTTTAGGACTTGGCAGCTCCGTCCACGCCGAAGATGGCGTCGGTACTTTGCTGGTATTCTTCTCTTGAGGCTCATCAGCAAGACTGGACGCTCTTGCCTTGTGCAAAGTCCTTCCATCCGAAGCTTTCGCTGGTGGCGAGCCAGTCCACGCTTCCAGCACAGATCCGTCACTCTGAAGTGATTCGTCATCTCTAAAATACGCTTGCGAGTCCTGTCTATCCAGCCGCTGTATCCTGTCATGCCCAAACGTACCGTAGTCATGAGAAGTCTCATCAGGTCTGTGAATATGCGTTCTGTAGCCACTGTGCGACTGCAGATACCTCGGAAGCATCTGAACAGCATTCGAACGGGTCTCCAGATCCATGAGATGCAGTAATGCCGCCGCCACACGCGCTGCCGGTAACACCTGCCAGCCGGGAAGATATCGTTGAGTCTGGAGCGCGAAGGTTTCGAGCCTTTGCGTCAATAATTTCAGCAGCGACGACGACGACGACGACGCAGAGCAGAATAACCCACTGGACGTAGCACTTTGATGACAGGCACAGAGCAAAACCTCCGAGGAATCCAGAGATAATCCATCCACGAAAGGGTTTCTCGCCAAGCTGACGTCAAAGTCTTCAAAAAAACGATGGAGCTGCGGAGAACACGCTAGAAACTCCGTGTCGGACGACGCCATCTGCAGCAAGTATCTGTAGAAATCCTGCTCCAGAATCTCGTGCTCGTAGCTCCTGGTAATCATACTTGACGCTCCAAGTTCGCTGCTCAGATACACGACAGCTTCCACCACTGCGAGCGACAGACTGCGCATCCTGTTGAGCAGCTTGACCACTCGTTGCGGCACGTTCTTCTCCACATGAGACGCGCGATGCAAAGGCAACACGCCCATCAGTTCTTGCTGTAAATGCGCCATCACTTGGTCGCGCAGGTGGATGTTCTGTTGGACCGACTCGACCACAAGTTGAGCCGGCGATTTGTCTAGCGAGGACGAACGCGTCACGCGCTGTGACGCGTGGAGAGCAGTCGAAGTGTGTCGAGAGCCAAGCACCTGTTTCTTGAGCTTGTGTGGACTGGAAAGGCGTTTGGCATGAGCTTGCTGCATCTGACGCTCGGTAGGAGTCCTCGACTGCAAGCGTGGCCTTGCTTCAGCGATATTGTGGTGGTCGTACCTAGGATGGACGTGTCGACTGTGGCGGATGGCTCCAGCAGAGCTCGGTCGCCTGTTGTCGCGGTGCTCCATACCTGACCGAAGCGAGTCGTCCAGCTCCAGCTCCACTAGCAGACGCTGCTGGTCGTGATGTCGACGTCCACTGAGCTCCGAGGTTCGACGCATTGGCCCACCCCACATTGTACTTCGGTCGGCCATACCTTTTGTATAATTAGGCGACACGAACCAAACTGCTGGGACGTTTCCTGGATGCGTTTCGCTGCTCAAAAATCCCAATAAAGTTCAAGCAACTAGCAACAACACATGCAGCTCCAGAGCTAGATTTGGTGAGCGTCTTAAAAACGAGTTATCAATGCCAATTTGTACCTAGATAAGCATGTCGTCCTCTTCCTCATCACCATTAGTCAAAGTTGTGAGACCCTGGGCTCGGTACAGATCGGCAATCTACATGCAACGGTCTCGGGCGTTAGTGGTCTGCTCATATAACAGTATAATACAAGCCACGTCGTACCTGCGAAGAGTTGGTCGCCTGCGTCGTGTCCTTGTCGTCTCGGATGCGAATAAAGCGAGGGAAACGCAGAGAGATGCCTCTATCCTTGGCCACCAGACCTATCGCTGCCGTGTACTTGGGCGAGATGGACAGATCAGCACCTAGAATCTCCCACACACAACTCGCCTCGAACCAAACGTCAGGTTTGATCCCTTCGCCGATCGCATAGTCACTAGGAGGTTTATCCACGACCTTCTCCTTGAGCTGCGTGTAAAACTGCTTCAGCACTTCATCCGACAGCCCAGTGCCCAGCTTGGTAATCGGTTGAAACATCTCCGTATCGGGGTCATAACAGGCCAACAAGTACGCGCCGTACACGCCCGTGCGCTTGCCACGACCATAGAACGCTCCAATCGGAACCAAGTCAGCCGAGTCGCCGATACCGTCCAGATAATCCTTCTTAAGCTTCAGCCACTTGTGCGAGCGGTTAGCTGGCTCGTACGTCGCCTCCTTCTCCAGCGTCTTCACCATCAAACCTTCGCAGTTTTCACGCACTGCCTCCTCGAGGAAGTTGCGGACTTTGTCCACCGCTTCTTCCATCGCCTCTGGGTTGTCCTTGACGTCGACGCCGTCCTCAACGTCCAATGAAGTGGCAAATTCAAAGTTGCCGGGCTTCACGTCGAACATCTCGCGCAATTTTTCACGACGTCTGGCCAGCGGGACTCCGAGGAACGACTCGCCATTCAGAAACAGCAAGTCGAACGCGTAGATGCACACAGGGATCTTGATATCCTCCACTTTCACGTTCTGGCAGTCACAACAAAGCCGTCAGTATACCCACCTTCAAGCCAGGGTATTTACACAGCACCACAAACCTTTCGCGAGCGTGTGCTCAGGATCTGGAACGGCAGACGCTTGTTAGTAGCTCGATCCACAGCGACCACCTCGGCGTCAACGATGCAGCTGTCCACCACGCCCTCCTTCGCTGCGTTCGTGATCGCCAGTTTGACGTCGGGGAAGCGCTCGGTCGAGTTCTCAAAGTTGCGTGAGAAAATGGCAATTTCTCCGTTCGGCAGGATGTGGATCTGCGCGCGTTCGCCGTCGTATTTGTACTCGCACGTGAACGGTTTGCCTTCGAAGCGATCGAACACCATCGCGTACGCCTTCGTCGGACGCGCCAGCATTGGCGACACTGGAGTTCCCGGCGTCAGCACGCACCTGTCCGCCACCTTGGCAAACTCCTTGACGCGGAGGAACGGGGCGCTCTTAACCTCCTTCTGGACCTCGTAAAAGGCAGCAACCAACGCGTCGTAGCTGGGACACTCGGCAAAGGCCTTCTTGACGAAGGCAAGCGCCTCTTGCTGCTTGTCCTTGTCCTTGTACTCTTTGTCAGTCATGAACGCGTACGTCAGCCCCATCAGAATCGACTTTTCAGCCAATCCAATGCGAAGTTTGCCCTGAAGGCCTCGAATAATATACTTGGCACCCTCGGCAGCTGTCTGCGCGCCCTTGTCCTTCTTCTCCTTCTCGCACTTGACCAGTAATCCCTTGATAATGGAGCACTTCTGCTGCTGCGAGTTGTTCCCAGTCATCTTGGCGATCTTGACAAACTGACTGTACACATGCTGCACGGTGAGTCCGCTGCCCTTGGCCGTCGCGGGTTTAAGCGACGCGAACGACAGCGTCTTCTGCTTGGATCGCGCATTCTGCGCCACCTTCCCGAGGTCTCCTTCCTTGTGATACATCTCCTTAATAAACTTGAGGTTCGCGCCCGTGGCTTCTCCGATGGCTTTCATGAGGATGGCGTCACCAATGCCGATCTTCAAGTTCTCGAACGGAGGCGCCAGGTCCACACAGACGCAGAGGTAGATACAGGCGAGTAGATCATCGGGAGAGCGACGGATGACGCCGCGGAAGAAGGCTGTGAGCAGGTCCTGGATGACGAGACGACCCGTGACTTGTTCGATCTTGGAGAACAAGTGCGCTAGCTCAAAGTACGGCGTCTCTCGAGGCTCGTCGGTGTCTTCTGTCTGTTTGTCGCTTGTAGCTGACTCGCTCTTGACCTTGGCGTCTTTCTTGCCATCAGATGAAGTCGACGTGGCCGTGCTGGAGGCGGCAGTGAAGAAACTCGTCTTGGATGCAGCAGATTTCTTCTTCTTCTCAGTCTTTTTGGCCTCTTTCTTCGGCTGAAGCTCTTCATCTTCTTCACGAGCTTCGACTTCTTCACTCACTTCCTTTGTAGGACTCTTTTTTGCCTCCTTCTTGGGACTCTTGACCGCCTTCAGAGGGGTCACGACTTTCTTTGCCACTTGCTTCTTGACGTTCTGCGGTGTCGACGTCGGCGACGTCATGTCGATCACCTCCTGCTTTGCATCTTTCTTGTCTGTCGTCATGGCCAGATCCAAGTCGCTGTCCTCGTCCTCTTCGTCCACGACGCGTTGACGCAAACGACGCCGACCAGCTGCAGCAGCAATACAAGCAACGTGAGTCATGTGACCTTCACTCTCTCTCTTCTTTATGTCGATACGTACGCTTGGTCTTGCTCTTAACGTCTTCGTCCTCCTCGTCTTGCTCTTCAACATCCACAGACGTCGCCTCTTCTTGCATCTCGACGTCCTCCGGCTCTTCCTCCACCTGCTCATCCTTCTCTTCTTCTTCAACTTCTTCTTCTTCTTGTACTTGTTTCTTCTCCACTTTTGCCTTCTTCATCGGCTTTACAGGAGATGCGGCGGGTTTCTCGGCATCGTCTTCTGCAGGTTTTCGCTTCTTGGCCGGCGGCGATGCACCTGCGCCAAAGAACGACCTGATAATGGTGCACGCAGATGAAGGTCAGTGAGTGAGTGTACAAATATGAGACGAATAAAGCCTCGCGTACATGATGGAGCTCTGCTTGGGTACAGCCTTCTTCGCCATGCTGGAGCAATTTGCTACTGACCCATCCAAACCAAAATGGCGCCAAACGTGTACACCAAGCGTACACAGCAATAATTGTCAAAAGTTGATCTTTTTGTGGCGGGAAACACCTTCACTCTGTCGAACTTCCTGCAATTTTTTTTGGTTCAAAATGGGTCGCAAGTTGCTCGCGCTAGTACCATCAGAGTTGCCGTCGTCTGTCAACTTGGGGCGCTTCCATTCGGACGCAACGGACGCCCCGCTTCTCTCTGTTGCTCTGTGGACCTCCCGCCCCACTGCAGAGTCCACTCGAACGCGACAATTGGCTTTGGACAAAAGCAAATGCCAGCTCCTGGAGCTTCAGAAGCTGCAACCCGTCGAGGGTGCGCGCAGCTGGTTCGTGGGCAATAGCGTATTGCAAGATGGCGGGTTGATGGTCTTCTCACCGGTGGATGCACTCTTCGTGCTGTTGGATGCGGCGTGGGGTCAGCGCACCCGCTTCTCATCAGTCTACGATCTACTGGCACGGGATGGCAACACGTGGCTGTTGCAACTCACTACGCTCCGGTCAGAAACGATTGAGAAGATCTGTGACCTACAGGCGGTTGGAGACGAAGAAGGAGTTGACAATCTCTTCGTTCAGGCTAACGAGAGCAAAGTTACGAGCTGGTTGAGCGCCAAAGTGGAGAAGGTGGCGGCTGTGCTGGCAAAGCAGGAGCTAGACGCAAATGCCAAAGCTGCAGCTGTCGATGACCAAGTTAATCTACCGGGATACGAGAAAAAAGAAACGAGCAGTACCGTGGCGCAGGAAGATGTTGCACGACATTACCGTGAAGCGATTGATATCGTGGGCAATTACCTTGCGAGTGACTGGATTGACGTACTCTGCGACAAGTTCAGGTACGTTACGGTACTGCAAGAGCTAAGAAACATGTAGTAATGTTGACGCATGGTACTGTTTACAGAGTGAACAAGATGGTTGAAGTCAAGGTTGTTGCTAAGGCGGCACCACAGGACACATTCAAGCGGTTCGACCGACGTCAGACACCCGAGAATGGCTCCAAGAGACCAACGCCGTCCACCGCAGCCAGCGCTAAGAAGAAGAGCAAGTTGGCTAGTGTGGACCGCACTGGTATGAAGTCACTCACGTCGTTTTTTGGCAAAAAGTAAATGGTCAAAGTGATGCATTTTAGCAAATTATAAAGAGCAGCTTTATCTTCGAGCGCTCGAGCCTTCCACGCTGATCCGATGCACGACCACAAAGTCGTCCCAGCCGGAGACGATTTTGAATTTGATGAAGGACGCATCAGTCGGCTTGACGTTCTCGTTAACAATTTGCATTTCGCCTTCGGCCTCCTTCAACTCTGGCAATAATAATTGCACGAAAAGGTCAGCTGGTGATCAAGTGAAAAAAACACACGCAATTTTCTCATGTTGCTTACCTGAATCAAAAAGTTTAACCCATTTTGTAGGCGTCGGACCGCTGCAAGATTCTATCGACACTTCCTTGGCATTTCGCGTCCACATTTTGGCACGAACAACTGACGCCGTTGTAGCCAATTGGACTACAATTTCTTGAGGAAAGCTTCCAGTTGTCACCCATTTCGACGATTGTTCTCTATTTCATCAGCAAAGTGACTTTAGCAATTGCATGCAACAGCAACAAACACTTGTCAACAAAGTAGTACCTACCCATCCAAGATATTAACCGGCGGGAAACTCGGGTCATACGATGTCACAGCCGTCACCTGGGCACCTTCTTCGTCCAACGCAAGCTCCATCACGATCACAGCGACTGTAGGTGTTTAGCAAAATGTCCCTTTACCAGTCTGCAAGGGTTAAACTTAGACACCAAAAAAGAGTCGCAAAAAAGGTAATAATAATAGCAAAAGTCGGTCACGCACTCATACTTATCAGGTCGTTTTTGGGCTTAGTTGAACACCCTTTTAGATACCAACGTCACAGATGGCCCATATGAATTCTGGTTACCCACTTCCACGTAGCTCCGATGTGCCGTAAAAGTGGACTCACTAACCTCTCCAGCACCTCATGAAGTCAACGGTGCCTCAACAGACTCTTTATACAGGCGCTCGAAGCCGGCCGACAGGATATCTGCCGCTCGTGTGATGCCAGACCCGTCGTCATTGAACAGCTTGCAGTTCGACCACATCAGTCGAATATCGTTGGCGAAGTGCGTCACATCCAGCTTCTTGGCACCCGACGCCGCCATGTTGCTGTCCACGACGTACGCGCCTTTCTTCAGCTTGTTCTCGATCTTCGACAAATCCATGGGCTGCTTCACCACCCGCGTGTACATTGGCACATTCTCCACAGGTGTCAGGAACGGCTTCGAGAACGGGTGCGACTTCAAACACGCCACAATCTTCAGACACCTGTCCAGCAAATTCTGCTCTGCAGCCACCGCAGTGGAGTATCCGTCAAACCGCGACGGTTTCTTGCACTCCGCACACTGCCAGTCGCCCTCTGGAAGATCATTCTCCGTCATGTGCAGACACTTCAAGTGGTAGGAACGCGGACATTTGTCGCAGCAGACGAGGTCTCCAGCGCCCTGACAAACCTCGCAGAAATCTAAGTTCGCGTCCAGTTCGCTGTCCGATCCGCTGTCGTCTTCTTGTCCCTCATCGTCTTCTTGACGGAACGACTCGTCCTCCGTCTCTTCGTCATCCTGTTTTACTCGCTTCGGGCGCTTGGGGGGTCGACCTCTTCCCCTCTTCACAGGAGGGGCCGGCTTTTGTGCATTCTTCCTCACTGGCGGGGCAACTCCCTCAGGAAGAGGATGTTTGCGAGGGCGACCCGGTCCACGATGAGGCGGCGGAGTCGTCGTATGGCTCTCCTTCCTTTCGGGCTTCTGTGTGATCTCCTTCTCCCCACTCTTCGCGCTGAGCTTCGGACTAACCTGGGCCTTGTGTTGGGGCTTCTTGTCATTACTCTGTTCTTTCGCAGCGCTATCGTTACGGCGTACAACCTTGGAAGCATCACGTGACGATATATCCTCCGAGCCACGCGGTGCCGGACTGTCCTCGGCGGTACTGTCACTAATCTTTCGCTTCCGTGTCGGCGTCTGGTCCAGCGGCCGCGCACCAACAGTGGGACGACGCGGACTGTCGGATTCATCTGAGCTGGTGGAAGACTGATCCTGATACGGACTTTTATCTGGGCGGCGACGGTCAGCAATGCCACGTCCAGCGAACGTCCGTGGAGACGCCTCCATCTCAGTATCGCCAGAACTCTGTGTGTTCCCGCTGCTTCCGCTTCTCGCTGCGATTCCGTTCGTGTGAGTGTAGCGAGCATCACTTGGACGTTGACTGCTGTCCTTGCTCGACTGGCTACTGGCATCCATCGCAGCTGAGCTCGCAGGGGTCCCACCTTGATTTAGCGAGCTCAACAGCTGCACCAACGATTTCTCCGACTCGGCACAATTCAAAACAGTCGCTGCTGATGGCGATTCCGCGTGCGCAACTTTTGGCGACGCGACTCGAGCTGCCACGCGAGGATCCGAAGCTTGTGCGGATTCCGCCATCACGGCGAGCATACCAGACGACGTATCCTTGGCTGCACGTTTCGGAACAGGAGACGGGGACTTTGGTTGTGCCTGCATACTGGGGGAATATCCGTCTCGAGACGTCTGTTCCTTGTCACTCTCGGCCTGCTTGAGCTGCATCTGTCTGCGTACGTCGTACGCTTTTCCTGCCTCCACACTGCGAGCTGGTAGTCCGTCTCGCTGCATAGGAGGACGGGCTTCTGCTGGAGGTGTGGGTGGATACTGAGCGTATCGACGACCATCGCTAGAGCTCGTACTTGGAGCACTCCCGTACGTCAATCGACCGTCCGAGGCCGGGGCAGACAATGCAGCTTTCGCAGCAGCAACGGCAGTAACACGGTCGTCCTTGGGCGCCATTAATGCCCCTTGTCCACTACGACGTAGCGTATCCATAAGATAGCGTTTGTATTTCTGCACCTCCACCCCTTTCTCCGCCGTACACCTTGTGCACGGACATCCGCGCGTACAGATCAAGCAGCGGAGTAGTCGACGATTCGGCGCCGAGCCGTTCCTGCCCACAAACAGCGCTTCCAGTCGCACTCTATACACGCTGCGCAAATGTTCCCGACACAGCGAGTGCTGCTCATCTCCATGTGGACAGAAATTCACTACTGGCATAAACTGGCTGTCACTCGCTCCGCACAAGTGACACAGTCCTTTAGCCACAAAATTGGCTTCTTCTTCCGGGATCAAGTCCTCCATCGCCACAGCATACGCGTCATGCAGCACCGACTCGTCCAGATTTACCTGCTCTCTTAACATTTCCTCTACTCTCGGAGGCAACTTCCTCTCCCTCTTGTAGTCCTCCGCCATCTTGCCAGAAGACGACGACGTCTCGACCATCCTGCCTTGATACGACTTCCCTCCTGCAGATCCATCCGCTACGCGTCCCTGATAAGCTGGAGAGCCCTGGACAAGTCTCCCCTGGTACACCACTGGTCCATCCGATGGTCTCTCCTGGTAACCTGGCGGCGGCTCCATCCTTCCCTGATATCCTGCATCCATTGGTCTACTCTGATACCCCGCAGAGTTCTCCATCGCTCTACCTTGATAGACAGGACCAGGCGTCGCTCTACCTTGATAGCCATTAGGTCCGTCCACTGTTCTCCCTTGATATGTCGCTGCTCCGTCCACCATTCTCGCTTGATATCCTGGATCCATAGGTCTCCCTTGGTAAGTCTCCGGCGCTCTCCCTTGATACGAGGGACGACGTTCTACCAGTCTTCCCTGGTAGCTAGGGGCAGTTGAGTAGTGCGGATACTGCACAGGTCCCTGAGGACCCGACGCTTGAGGGTAGTCGGACGGCGCTCTCGCTCTCCCTTGCCAACCTGCAGCCGAAGACGTGGCCACCCCACTGGCCGTGACGGCCGAGGCAGGAATGTATCCATCTGGCGTCTTACCCTTGCTCATGATGGCCTCCATCCACACTTCGTTGGGCGGGGGTGTAAGGCGTTGACGCTTCTGGGTTGGAACATTTAGAAGTATTAAGGGAAGAGAATAAGGTTAGAGAGGGGGGAAGGAAGAGAAGAGAAGAACAGGGTGAACACTCAAGCGGCACCTTGTCCCCGCGGTCTCGAGGCGCCCCGTGGTACATGCTGCTGCTGCTGGCCACGCTTCCTCGCTGAGCCGTCGGCGGCTTGTGCTGCCTTGGAGGCTTCTTGAGATTTGTCGTTAGCACCACAGAGACTGGGTTTTTGGCGCGACGCGGCGACGTGAAAACGAATATATTGACCAAGAACATAAGGAAATGGTGTTTAGTATAGAGTTGAGGAGGTACCCATCGCAGATGGTGCTTGGAATTACAGTTCGGGCGCCGCCCATGTGTTCCGGCATCATCATCATCATGAACGGCACGCAAACAACCACTACCCGCGATGGGTACGCGGAAGCGTTGTAAACTTGCCAGCAGTAATTGTTCCACGCGTTAATGTTTGGCAATTATTAATGGGGTTTTACAGCTCCAGTTCTGCGAGTGAATTGTGCTGTGACACTAGGCAATAACCCCATACAAACAGAAACGAGGTTTTTGTAGCACTTTAATAATTTCATGTCTGAAAATATTAATGTATAAATCGTAAGAAAATATAGCACTCGGTAACCCTGCAATAATCGAGAAATCCGTTGCTGCAGATAAGGAGCCATCGTACTTCGTTATTTGCAGAACATATTGATTCCAGCTCCTGATGAGCAGTATATAAAAACTGCTGTTTACCAAACAGGGAGAAAACCAAAAAAACTAAAATAGTACACCGATAATTGCCGAGGGAGCATACAACATTTCAGATCATTCTACTGACAATTTTCGCCATGGTAGACGAATTATAAAGCTCTTTGTCGTACATGTAATTAAATACACAGGGTACGCAATTACATGTTGTGCGGAAACTGCGGCCCAGGTAGCATCCCATGTACTGTATCCCTACGACAAGAATTTCCCCGCATCATGTACATGGTACAGTACACGCATGTTGACAAACAGTCAAACAAACTGCCCGTTTCTTTGGGAAAGTCGGTGCAGTCTGTGCTGCCTATCTCTGTTTTCTAAAAAATTGCTAAAGCTGAGGTAGACACAGTAGATTCTAGGCTACGTAAAAATTATGGTAAGAAATTGCGCCGATGGACTTTGTCGGTATATATTTTTTGAAAGACTACCGGCAAACTCTGGTACTAATAACAATGTGAGGAAGTACCGTACCCGCTCTCAAACTAAGCTTTTACACATCTCGAAGCAGATCGAAGATAATTGCAAAGATGTGCAAGTTCTTTTTCCAGAACACTCTACCTCAACAGATTCAGCTCCTTTGAGCGTAATACGATAAATTGACGGCGCATGAGCCAGAATCGACAGTATTTACAATGATGCGGACAAATTGCATTTTTCGATGCCTAAGCAATTCGGCTCAACGAAATTCAATTATATAATATGTCACGTGCACTCTGCAAGGCGTTAGCACGCACGTACAGTACGGTGGTTACGGCAGTGTCGTGCCGACCAGTGTTACGACACTGATCGGCGGGAGATCTGAGTGCACGCAAATGTTGTCTGTCATATAAATTGGGTACGCCCATTCCGAGAAATGTTATATTATTGGTCGACATAGCCGCTCAATAACTAGAGGCGATGTTTGATCTGCTGATAAAAATACATGAACGTTTTTGATCCGTTGCTGTCAGAAGAAAAGCGTAAAAATGTTGGCCTTTTCACATTTTTTTTATTAAGTAAGAGCAGTGTCAACCCTCGGCTTTATAGACGAACAATCGTTTTTTAAACCAGTTTTTAATATCAGTAAAACATATTATAAAACGGTCTTTTATCGATGCTTGCTTTAAACCATTAGAGACAATATCGCTCTATTCGAGAGCGAGCTGGTGGATATGAACGCTCGCTGGTACATCATCATTAAAGCCAAGAAGGGCACAACACTTATCGCTAGACACAAGACACGCCGCCTGTCGAAATGTAAAGCCAAAATATTACTCCGAAAACTTCTTTTTGAAGAAGTTAAAAAAAAGCAGAGAATCGTCACCGATTTCAACGAAATACATGTAGAAAATTCGATTCTTCAGCGAAATACAAAAGTAATGTGCAAAACCGATCCCTAATTTTTCAGTATTCTACTTCGACCCTCATCACAATCGTCGCTCAAATTCATATAGACATTATAATATGTCTGTACTAGGAGACCTTTAGTCCACCGTAGCTTTGACAATCGTCGCTCAAATTCGTCTGACAATCGATGCCGCAATAAACTTGTTGAATCAGGTTTATAAAGAATTGGGCGTGGTTCATTGTGGTTTTATCACAATGGAATAGGATGCTAGCCTTTGCATTTGCCTAGCTTGAATACTCTTGGGCAAATCGCTGGGGTGTTTGAGAGCAAAACCAAAACGCATAAATCTATGAAAGGAATGACTCCACTGGTGTATACTTTGTCTGCTACCCGTACGGGTGTATTCCACTGTAGTTACGGGATACGATGCATTGAAGTTGAAAAATGGCAACGGCAAGCAGATCACTTTCATTTAAATTTGTAATCACATCGAAATCGTCTCGATATTTCAGCTCAATTAACCCGCGTAGGTTCACTCCTACAGTGTATATTAGACCATGTAGTCCCTCCCGGCATGAGCGTACGCGATCTAGTACATGGGAGTAAAGCTTGTAAATAAAAAGTGGCGTCGTCGGACGGAGATGTCAAAACATTATGACTAATCGGCTACCAGCTAAATACATACCCGGTACTTAATTTTGCGCACCATACCGCAAAGTTCTGCAGGCAAAACTGTTTGAATCGACCAAAATCACAGCACCAGCGGTAGGCTCCAGCTGGAGCGTCATTCGGGTCGAGGATAGGCTTAAAGAAGATAGCACGCACCTGCTGGATAGTGAGCCCGGTGGTTTACGAGGGAGAGTCGGCAAGTGTAAGTATGAGCATGAAATACTGTTGTCTGCTATATCTTTCAACATTACCCACGATATCACTGGTTAAAAAGATGTTTCCAGTAGTCCTACCGGGAATAATCTGATAAAGAAATCAGGAAGCACTGGTTACAAAAGCTATAGAGGGCATTACTAGCTGGTTGTGTAGTGATATAGCAATTATGTCGACATCGGAGTTGAACTCAAAAATGCTCACAAGCAGTTACTTCAGCTCCACTTGTAAAAACCGAGCGAAAATGAAAACGCTCGTCTAGAAAATTATTGCCATTATAATAGGCTTGTGTTCGGGAAGATGGGACAGAGGCAACTCCTTTAAAATATGAAGGGGTATAACTCAGCTTCAGTTTGAAGGAGCTGGACCCCCAAATGCAAAAGTGTTGTTGTCGTTAAAGGCAAATGCCGAAGTGAGTAGATTAAAGTCAATTAAATCTGTCCTCTAAACTTCAGTGCTCCTGGCCATCCACCAGATTAACCGCTTTGGGACCGGTCCATTTTAGAACGTCACGCCGGTTAGCCGAACCGTGCAGAGTCGGTGCATATCAACACTCCCACGCACGTCGCTCCTCTTCTTGATTCCACTTGCTTCGCGAAGGAACGCTAGCGACTTCGTTCCCAGTGCTTTCGTAAGCATGTCAGCTAGCTGCTGCTTCGTGTCGATGTAGGCCACCTTGATTGTGGAACGTTCCACATTCTCTCGAATAAAGTGGTGACGGATATCCACGTACTTGGTCCTCGCGTGATATCCAGCGCTGCTTGCAAGTGCAATAGCACCTTGATTGTCTTCCCAGACCTGCGTCGCTCCCACTTGCTCGTGACCCATGTCCTTCAGCATGGTACGTGTCCACAGTACCTCTTGAGTACAAAGGCTTAGTGCCATGTACTCTGCTTCCGCTGAGCTAAGCGCAACCGTCCTCTGGTACTTGGTCTTAAACACCACCGGAGCGTTCCCAATCATGACCATGACGCCAGACACTGAACGTCTGTCGTCAACGTTGCTTCCCCAGTCTGCGTTCGTAAACGCTTCCGCCTTGACAGCTAGCGCTCCATATCCACTCGTTCCACTTTTGTAAACGATACCATGATGGCGAGTGGACTTCAAATACTGCAGAACACGAATCGCTGCCTTCCAATGTTGCGATCCAGGATTCTCTAGAAATCGTGACAACTGCGTGACAACGTAGGCAATGTCCGGCCGAGTGCAGGTTGTGATGTACATGAGGCACCCGATTAAGGAGCGATACGGTCGTGACCGCAATTCGGCACGTTCCTTTTCCGTAGTCGGCGAGATCATCTTGGACAATTTCAGGTTTGCTGCACAAGGGTTCTCCACCATCTTGGCGTTCCGTTGATTGAATCGTTCCACAATGTCGTCAACATTAGACATACGTACATGAATGCGTTTTTAAAACGTTTGACGTAGACACACTGGTATACGTAAACGAATGCGTTTTTGGAACGCTTGACGTAGACACACTGGTCGGATCCGCAACATTTGAAACCGTTCTGCAGGAACACACGATGAATAGTCTTGTTCCATGCACTTGCAGCTTGCTTCAAGCCGTAGATGGCCTTTAGCAGCTTGCGGTTCATGCCTTCAGCATTGTCGAGACAAAACGGAGCGTCCATATAAACCAAATCCTTCAAACCACCGCTAAGGAACTCTGTGTCGGCATCCAGTTGCTCCATAATGTAGCCGCACGTAGCGCAAACAGCGAGTACAACTCGAATTGAGTTCATATTCGCAACTGGAGAGTACGTCTCAAAGAAGTCTATTCCAAACTTCTGCTTGAACTTCTGCGCTACCAGGCGTGCCTTGTAACGGATAACCCGGTCGTTCTCGTCACGCTTCTTCGTGAACACCCAGCGACAACCAATGGAACGAGTTGTCGTTCCACGTGGAACGAGCGTCCATGTTCCGTTCCGGGAATGCGAATTCAGCTCTGACTGCATAGCTCGACGCCACTCTCCTGCTTCGTCACTGGCAATAGCTTCTGCGTATGTGTTAGGCGTATCTGTAACGCCACCAATGCTGGCCGCGTACGCCAACACTGCCTCTGCGAGCAAACCATCTTTGTCGATTCTGGCACGCTTAGGAGATGGCGGTCCATCACTTCCACGTTCCACATCTTCATCGTCACCGTTCCCAAGTAGACACAAGGGCGCGTAGATCGCTCCGTTTCAGGATGGAAGATCATCCGGTCCTCATGGAACGATGGAGGCTGCGAATGGAGCGTTGCCAAATTCAACCCATTTAACCTGGGTTCCTCCGGCGCGGGTAGCTGCTGTATTTCTGCGTTCCGTTCCGGTTCAAGGTCGTTCATCGCAATGTCTTGAGCAGGCTCCTCTGCTTCTTCCATCGGTACAGCCTGAGCAGGCTGACGCTCCACTTCAGATATTGGAACGA